GGTGCTGTAGGCATGTATGAGCTTATGCTGGTGTCTGCATATGTGTGGGAGGTAGACCTATGGCTGTGTATAAGCATAGCCCCTGAACACACACATACACACACACACACACACACACACACACACACACACACACACACACACACTCTTAGATTATCCAGACACCTACACATAGCCCAGCTCCCTTGTGCAAATGTGTGTTCACGTTTGTCTCCAGACTTGCTGCTGTTCTGCGTGTCTTTGTGTTGGGGGGCAGATGGGGGGCAGGAATACAATTTTTAAGGCTGCTCTGGAGGAAGGTCTCTTAACTTTATCTGGGACCCCTTTCCAAAGTATGTCTAGTGTGCACCTGGAGCCTAAGGATTTCCTGAATAGACAGGAGCTGCCTTTCAGGAGCCACTCCAGCTGGTTCTGGCAGGGACTGCGTCACAGAGCACAATGAAATGGAGTTGAGATGAGATTCCAGGGATCAGAGTTACACCAAGTGCTCTTTTGCCCTGAGAAGAGATGGGGGATCATTAGTACCGAGCTCATTTGCCTGATTGGCCTTCTCAGCCCCTCTGCCTGCCTGGATGCTAAGAGGGTGCTAGGGTAGGGGCAGCATTTTAAGGGACCAGGAACAGTGGTACAGCCATGGCAGGAAAACCAAGAGTGGCAGGGATGCCCAGGCCCTTGTCCAATCATTTTCAGACCTCTTCCTTCCAGAACTATTGGTGCTCTTAACCTTTTTTTAGGTCATTTATTCCTCCAGGAATCTGGTGGAAGCCTAAATAGATATTCCCTAGAAAAATGCATAAACCTACAAAATGTTGCATGCAGGGTCAGAGCATGTGGGACCTTAGGAGACTGTGCATGGACTTGCACTTGGGCCAAGGAGAAGGGGTTGTGTTGGGCCGGCTGTGTGGCTCGGGTGTTTGAGTAACACAGGCCAGGGTACCCCCTGGAGGGCGAGTCCGATGGCGTTTGCTCTGCACCTTAGCCTTGGTCTGAACCGAGGTGTGGATGTTCAGGGAGGGGCTGCCCCACGTGACCCTTAGCTCTGAGACATTGGGTGGGCTGCCACTCTTTCTGACCTGCAAGCTGGAGCTGTAAAGGGCTGTGAAGGTTGTGCAGATGGTGTGTGAAGACACAGCCTCAAGCTTGGCTGACACACAGTGGGCCTCTGGCAGGACAGCTGGGGTGGCTGTTATCCTCCAGGATCGGGCGAGCCTAGAGGAGGAGGCAGAGCCTTCTCAATGTTTAACCTTTGTGTAGAGGGTATCTCCTGTTGAGGGGAAATGTTGGTCAAGGTCTCCTTGGGCTCTTCTTCCGTGACGGAAGCAATGAAGAAGTCTGTCTGCAGAGTTCATCCTTCAGTTGGTGATCCTGTGCCTTCTAGCTAGGACACTGTGTGGCTACCCGGATGCTGAACCCCCCACCCAGAACTCTGTCCACACAACCAGCTGGTTACCTAAAAAGAGACTTTGGTTAACCCCTGTCAGGGCTCAGATTGCCATAGCGTAGAAGAGGTCTAGCACTCCACAAAGACTTCCTGGCATTCTGCCTAGTGAAGACTGGCTTGTCACCAGTGGCCTTCGAGGAGCCTAGGGTGTGAGCAGAGATTCCCTCCCCTGCCTGGATAAAGCCTTGAACAGGGGTTTCTGGAACTTCTAGATGCTACCAGACTGAAGAGCCCCTCTATACCTGGGCACTGAAGCACATACATTCAGAGAAGCTGAGAAGTTGATTTCTGGGTCCCCTAACGGGTTAAGATGGGGTTGTTTCTAGGGACCCAGAGATGAGCTCACTCCGCTCTTCCTCCCTGGGATGAAAGAAATGGAAACCCTTGCTTGGAGTGGGCAGCAGTGCCAGGGTGGCCCAGGGTAGCCCAGGGTAGCCCAGGGTAGCCCCCAGAGTTCTCTTCCACTCCCTCAGCCTTCTCTGACGTCCAGAATCAATAGAAAGGCAGGGAAGGGGTAGTGGTGGTGGGGTGGGGGGGTAGAGACGGGCAAGGAATGCCCTAGAGAGCTTAGGCAGACGCTGGGGTAGGAAGCCTCCTCCAGCCAGGTCTCCCCAGGCCTCCATCGCCAGGTCTCCCCAGGCCTCCATCGCCAGGTCTCCCCAGGCCTCCATCGGCCCCGACCCGCAGAGGTTAACGAGGCAGAGCCTTGCTCTGTGAGTCTTACAATTGCTGCTCTGGACAGAAGGAACCTCAAGAGGAGATTTTACTTGAGGGAGGGGGAGGGAGGAGAGAGCTCAGCCCACTCTTTTCTCTCTAGAAACAGGGATCTGAAGTTGACTCAGGCAGTGCAGGGGAGGAGAGGCTGGTGGGAGTGTGGGTGGCCACAGGTTGACAGGGACTTGGGGGCTGGCCCCTGAGCCCAAAGCCCTTTCTCCACGGCTTTTCATCCTACACCATGCTCGGGTGGACTGACCCGGGGGTGGTGGCCTGGCTTGGAGGCAGCTCCCTGCATCGGGTTTCTAGGTGCTGGATGTACAAGGCCTCGTTGGGACTCAAGCTCCAACGCCCTGTAGCATGTGCTCGGCCATTTTCCTTTTCCCTGCAGAGCTGGAAGAAAAATGGGCACTGTCATGGTGAGAGAACACTAAGGCACCAGAGCCCCACCTAGAGTCAGGGTCATTCTGCACCCAAGTCCTTCTCCCAGCCTCACTGGATCTCATGGTACCTTCCTGTCCATTAGTTTATACCCGAGGGAAGTGGGCAGGGCTTATGGATCCATTTTACAGATGAGCAGACTAAGGAGGTGGCAGGAAAGCTCTAGGGACAGTTGCCTTGTCCATGGGAGGTTGCTGTGCAAGGCTCCATCGGGTGCTGTATCTGTGCAAGAGCTTTCCTCTTGCCCATGCGCCAGGGGCAAAGGGCAGCGTGGTCTTGGTGGTAGTGGCAGGGGGCAGTGAGGGGGGATAATGATGAGCTGGCGTTCATTTTCTGGCCGCAATTCGGCCTTGAGTTTACTAGGCTACCTTGGGTGAATCACTTGTTCTTTGCACGCTCTCACTTTACCATCAGTAAAATGGGGGTCCTATCTCTGGAGATGTCTGAAACGCCCTCTGTGGCCTCCCTCAGATCCTGTGCTCCCACACTGGCGGGGGGTGGGGCTGTGGAGACTGTCCATGCACTGCACAGATGGAGGCGCCTCCTGGAGGGTGGTGGTCTGTCTGAGGCTGCAGTGAGGGAGGTTGGAGGCCAAAGGATGGGAGACGGGGAGACAGGTCCTGGACGGCAGGGAGAGAGAGGGCCAGCCTTCCCCGGCTTCTCGGCAACATCAGAGCAGCAAGCAGGCACATGTTCTGGTGCATGCCGCAGCCCTCCACCCCCACACCAGCGCCCCCACACAGGCTGAGACACACTGACACTCTCCAAGCCTCCTCCCTCCCTCCAAAGCACAGCGACTCTGCTGTCAGCAGCCCCTGCAGCCT